CCTCTTTAAGTCATCTCACATATTTTTGGGGATGCTCATATAGCTGTACAGGTACCCCGTACTTCGTTTTTCCTTCTAGAAACCGTTCATTTGAATTTAAGGCCTTGTATTACTTTTGAACATTTTAAGTGTCTCCGAAACAACCAGTAATAAAAATTAATTTTCTTGTACTAATTATTGCTTTTCAGACATATGCACTCAATGTTTCACTTAACCGTTCCATCCTTAGATAACTGATTTACGTAATACACATGTCGAGATAGAATGTACAAATGGGTTCTGAAATGACTCATTTCCATGCGATTTAATCAATTATATTACCGTTCTGCACCCCATAAAATTGGTAATAGGTAAGTATAGCTACTCCATCTAATTTCCAAATTTTTCTGAGCTATTATTCACTTGATAGCTATTAAAAACCAAGGAAAGTGAAAAAATTGCGTCGGACTCAATTAGGCACACGAGGTCTACTGCGCACTGTATGAGCCGAATTTGAATTTGGCGGTCCAAGTTGACCAATGAGGAATTAGTCCTATGTGTTTCGATATATTTCGACTCGGACGAACTTCATTTACCTATCTCTGCTTTCATGATAAGGAATACGTTTGGTTTTACACAAATCCAGGTTTCAATGAATGCGTGATTATTACGTAACATGGCATTTTTACCTGGAGGCAGAAAAGACTCATGATCGTCGTACCTTAAACTTACCGTAAACTGAGTTCAATTTGACATAACACAAACAAACCAAATAAGTCGGGGGCATCCGATAATTTTTCTCCGAAATTATCAAAACGAATGTAGAGGTCGATATTCTTCAGAATTTTCCCAAGTCTTCATTAGGTGTCAGAAACTACCAAATCATAATGAAACTTCAAGTGCCTAAAAAAAGAACCATAAAAACTCCGTAAAGCATGAAGTGGAGGCCCGCCTTAACTTCTCCCACCATTGTCCTTCAGTTGTTGTGACGTCACAAAAAATCATTAGATAGGATTCAGTTCAGATTCAGATTAGATTCAGTTCTTTATGAAAATATTTTTGTAAATATCCCAGAAACTATTCAACCGATTTCATTTTTTTTATGCTCGTCTCGAGGTGCGCTATGTAGATCAGTCAGAATGTACAGGGTCCACACAATCCGCCTAAATATCTCCTGAGGGGGCAAGTGACAGAAAATATTTCGAGACATCAATTGTAGAGTTTCGAAGGGGATATTTGAGACATGCATTTTTTTCAGTTTTCATGTCGGGGTCGACTATCGTAAGGCATTTGATAGCACGAGCCATGAGCTAATTTCCCTGCCACTGAAGCTTCTCGTGGCAGAAGACAATATCGTAAGGTGCATTAGAAATCTTGCCCCACTGTGAAGAACGCGCTTCACCATCGCATCCAGTAAGAGTCGTCCTACTTCAGGGTTGGTGCAATTCAGAAGAGTAGTTTTTCAAGGCGATACCTTGAGTCCTCGCTTCTTTTCCATCTTAGTGATGCCCCTATCTGTCACCTAGAGTGGTGTTGGTGGGTACCAAGCCGGAAGACCTGATAATCAGAGGCATTTGCACTTATTTACCCCAGAAAAGCGGCAATTTGAGCGCCAGTTTGATGTTGTTGCCGTGTACTTACGCACACTTGAAATGAACTTTGGGATAGATAAATGCGCAATGTTTCACATGAAGAGAGGGAAAGTTGCAGGAGGGATAGGACAGCTACACCTGGTGGATGGAAGTGGCATTTGACTTCTTGGAATGGAGTCGTATAGGTATCTTGGTTTCAATCTGCGATTTGCAGTGGACACTGAGGCGGTCAATGAGACTCTTCGTGAGGAGTATCGTTGACGGCTGCGGAGAGTTTGGAAGTCCGAACTCTCCGGAAAGGACAAGATGGCCGCGACAAACATATTCGTTGTTGCAGTTCTTCTGTACTCCTGTGGTCTGCTCAAATAGATGACGGATGAGATGAAGGAATTCCACAGAGAGACTCGTAAGCTAATGAACATTCATAGGAGCCTACACCAGATTACTCAGCCTAGAACCTCTCCATGAGCGCTTGGTCCTCAGCTTGGACTGTAATGTGATGGATGGCTTGGATCCTCTCTTGGAGTTTGTGCACGATCATGAGCTTCATGACATTCAAGCCATTCTCTACAAGACGGCGGATACCGTAGCTAACGCTCTCGGATTGGAGTTTCGTCGTAGCCGAGGTGGTCAGCATGACTGAATCTCGGCGAAGAGTGACTATCAAGGAGGCGGACGCGTCCACCTTCTTCGTCTACATGTTGACAGGTCCATGTATGGTGTGTTTGTTCATCATGTAGAAAAACAACTCATTTTTTAAGTCGGCTGGCTTGATGTTTAAAACCGCGGGCTTCATTTGCGCGTGTCAAGAAGGCGTGATAAACATTCTGGTCTGTCGGAGCCGTGTTATGAGGTGGCAAGTTCCGGATGTTAAATGCCGGACTTGCAACCTGTCCCTGGAAACTCTAATGTATCTTTTGTCGGTTTCCCGTACATAAGCAGTGACAAGCTATAACCACCGTCGTAACGCGGTTTTGAGAGTGTTGTATTACCACCTGCCGCACTCGTATGAGATAGACCAGACATCGATTCTGCCTTACACTCTAGGAGAGATATTAAATTCTTTGTCATGAATGACAGGTGTAAGATTTACTGGAACATCTCGTTTGTTAGGTTCGTCGCTGCGACGAAGCCTGATATCGTCCTTTTCGGCTTGAAAGACAAAGTCATCTACGTACCTGAGTTCTCGACGCCAGTCGAAAGCAATATATCTACGAAAGAGGAGGAGAAATGGCTCAAATACCAGCCTCTCCTGTTTGAGGGTTCAAAGTCAGGCTGATCGTCGTGATCATTGACTCCCTCGACGGTATGAAAGTCTTTTGTATCTGCGCCTGACGTGATTCCAGCCTGCAGACGCATTTAATATTGGCTAGCCAGATGTAAAAGACGGTCATCCTTGGGTCCCTTCGATTACTCAAACATGATGATTTCGGACTGCAGTAATGCTCACCTTGAACCAAATCCACCTTGAAGAAAGTCCTACTGCAGAGCGATTAGGACTTGTTTGTATCACTTACTTTACTGGATGTTCTTCGAGATGAAGTCGGAGTCCTCGAGGATCGTCCAGCGAATTGAAAAAAATTACAAATCTAAATTTATTGTTTTTTGTGAATAAGATCGCTATCTTTTTCACAAAAAACAATAAATTTTGATTTGCAATTTTTTTCATATTTGAGAGACATGAGGTTTACTTTTTGGTCTGTCTTCGCTGAAAATCTCCCTCAATTGCGATACTGTCAGGGATTCAAGGCGGGTTTCGTCATGTAAAACTCCTAAAGGAATCATCCGAATTTTTCCGAAAAATCTATGTAGATCTATGTAGAGCACATTAAAACAAACATTTCAGTAGAAAGAAAAATGAATTCGATTTCATAGTTTCTAAGATATTTGGAAAAATCGTTTCAAAAACAATCACCGATATCTTGCTAACTCCTTCACCGATCGGACTGACATTTAACATAGCTCAAGTCTATATTAGGATTTATGAACCGACAAAATTTCAGATTATGATTCAATTTACCCGTTGAATATTCCCTTTTCCTAAAAGTTGACCATCATGTGATCGTCCGCGCCCCCACACATAGCCCTCAAACGTTGTATTTTTACGTTTCAGACAGTTCTATATCATTTCCAGACAAAATTAAAAAATGTAAAAATGGAATGATTGCAATGCTTCCATCTGGGAGCAACAAATCAATTGTAAACTTTCGCTTTTCGTTCATGTTGAGAGACCAATAGAATCTGCCTTGCCCCAACTCTGCACGCATTCTCAACTTTCTCTCAATATTTGGAAATTTTAAAGTCCTACTGAACTCTAAACTAACTATCAACTTAGTGCGTTAATTACATATTTGTGGAGCAACTGAGGACTCTGACCAAGGCTGCATCGCAATTTCTTTGATAGGCCCATATTTATCTACATATTCATCTATACGCCATTTACAAAACTACCAAATAATTCATTTGCGAGTAAAAAAAAGGAATTAAAATTTCCCTGATGATTTATTTGTGAAGGGTGGAGGCTCGGCGGTAGTTATCCACGACATATACCACAGGAATAATGAAACATGGATTTAATTTCAGGCACAGATTTTTCTCAGTTTACTCATCCATATGAAAGCAACATTCAGACGATTTTTTCTCTGACGAGAGACAAAAACATTTAGCCTTTCCTTACAAGATACCGTTTTTTCTCAATGTTTTGGGTATGTTTATTTTTTTAAATACATAAAGTACGAACGCACTTCTTACAAAAATCATTTTATGTCCCAGCGTATGTAACCTTTTTATCCCTTGTATGTAACCTTTTTATCCCTTGGGACATAAAGTAGCATATGCATCACGGTCGAAAAGCATTTTCTCCCGAGGGGTGCATAATATACTGTTTTGAATGTCTTGGAATTGATAAAGTCGGAATCTACGAAAAGTTACAAATTTATTGCTCCACTAATGACGACGAGCCATAGGCCATAAAGGTTTTGACGATGGTTTCAGAAGCAATATAAATGCGCCAAAAGATCAGTGGAAGTTTTAAGAGGTTTTGAGAATTGGAAGTATTGTTGTGAGGGTGAATATGCTCAAGAAATCGTATTATCACGTAGCGATTGATATATGTTAGGATTGATGTCTGAATGTGTTTGTAGAAATGATATGGCGGAGACAATCTGTATAGAGTATTAAACGATTTTTATCGAACCATAGTATCATTCGAGTACCAAATATCTGGGTGACCTGTTCGCTAACCCTGAGAGATTTTAACTCGGCGGACGATAACTCCACACTTGTTTATCAATTATTCTTCTATACTTCTTTAAATATTTGATTGATTATGAATTCGAAATTCGTATGTGCAGATTAGAGCAAAACTTATAATTACATAATTATTATTATTTTCATATGCGAGGTCGGGCATGGCTAAAAACTGTAGAAGTAAATTATTCTAATACAAGGTACCGAAACATGATGACTGACGTCATGGAGAGAAGAGTTAGATAAAATGTAAGTATAAATTGTGTTCTGTCCATTTTTGTGGAAAATTGAGAATGAAAATCACACATCAACTATCAGGTGCATTCAATGAATTGAGCCCTTAAAACATACACGGGGAGAAATATCTACGGAAAATTACTGGTCTCGTATTAGTAAACGCGGGATATGGCACTGCACTGATGAAAAGTCATGTGAAATTTATGAAAAATCACTGCAGTTCTTCAGAATATTTACTACGCAGAGCAACAAAAATTACTGGACTGATCCTCAATTTTTTCCGAAGTTCATTCGATATTCTAAAATGTACTGCTAAAAGTTTGAAATATTTTTACTAGTTATTCACTTTTTACTCCACTTCCAGTAAATTTTACTGGATTTCTCATTACTTCTTCAGTGACAGAGCTGGGAAGTCTTACTGGACTGAACCGTAATATTTAAGGTTAGGTTGCAATGCTCCACGCTTATTGCGCAATCCGGTAATGTCTTAAGCAATTCTGGCACAAATTTTTCATATGAATTTCTCTCCGTGCATCTGTTAATTTTGTATGTGCGTATGGAACCTGCCGCTCCCCTTCCCTCCTGAAGGTGTATCATTTTGAAAAATTTTTTAAATTCATAAATTCATTTATAATTAGCTAATTTCCATTCAACGTTTGATAAGGTACTACTAACCTTACCAGCACTTGGCGTTACCCAGGGTTCGCGACGGGGACGCGGCTGATATGAACCCCACAAAGATCATAACATAACATAAAATGATCTGGTCATCCACCTCTAGTGATCTAGCCCAGGTCCGACTCAACTTCTGACCGTGTATCTCTTTGTTTATGGGTTTCAGTGGTAATAAGATTCTATTCTTTCTGCGATATGTGATGTGAATTGGATGACTTTATCGTTGAAAAGCATCTTTTCTTTAGGTGCTCGAAATTTATTCTTCAAAATTTATTTCATTTGTTGAGAGCCTTTAGAAAAAAAATTGCTTCTACAAAATGAATTAATTTTTACCAAATACAGTTACTTGGCCCAAGTATAAATAGACACAAATATTTGCATTTTGAATCTGTGCCTTTCCCTTGCAGTAAATAAATATAGTTGGTAAAAATATTTTTTCTAATTGTGCTGCTTTTGAAATAAGGTAAAAATAGACTCCGGAGTAATTGCTGTGTCCCTTCATTTCCGAATATTTTCCGATGGAAATGTCGCTTTTGTATTACTTGTCAGGATTTTTCGACTGGGAATTGGTATATTAGATACTTCTCAAACTCAAAAAAGTGAAAATTTTGATAGAAAAATGCTATCTCCCCTGGTGTAATGGGCTTTTTTATTCGTGTAGGATTGGTGGCCGAGTCGAAGGCATAAAATTAGCCACCACACGAGTGAGATAATCTTATCTAACAGTTTGAACAATATTTCAAGGTAGTGTTTTTCATGTTTTCGATTTTGTGAAGTATGTAATACAAATTTATTGCACTCTGTACGAAGCCCACCGCACCACTCCCGATAATCTTTTTCCGTTGTGATTTTCAAGTTTTCGAGTTAGGAACGCAGGTACTACCAATTTCCATACGAGAAAATGTAGAAAACAGAGAAAATGCAGAAAGCATTGCTTGGTTTTGTCAATTAGCAAGTATATTACGTAGAATTTTGTTTGCAATTGTTTTCGATTTCGGTGGCTTTGGTGGATTAACCGAGATAGAAAAATGAGGTAGAACGTCATATGATTGCTGGCAATCTCGAATAACTTGTGAAAATAGAGGAAAACATCGGTCCAAACAGTGTAAATATTGGGGGCAATGGTACGATCTTTGAGAGAACCAATCGCAGGCCGATCCCAGTGCCTTACCCCCATGGCACGTAACCTTTCAGGCAGACGTCATGTCGCTGACCTCTTATGGAAGAATATGCGAATAATATCACGATTCAATAATAACTTACCGTATCACTAACATATTTTGTACTTTAGTATCAGCTCTCATGACGTAAACTCTTGTGTATTACTTACGGCGTCGCTTTGAACCTTTAATCAAAATACGAATTCGAAACTTAAGATTGAAGCAATTATACAATTCAACATAAATTATTCATATCGTCCTGCCAATTATATACTGAATTTCCAATAAATATTACAATTGTGATGTTCTGAATTTTTACTGTATTTTCAATAAAAGCTATTTGAAGATGCGGAATTATCGTTTGGAAAACTTGTAACGTACTGCCTGTTAAACATTGAGGGGTCATCTGCAAGAAGCTTCAGTACTATCTCGATGCTGCTACATTGCGCTGAAGATAAGTTGCCGGCCGTTAAATAATTACACTTTTAGTAAGTATTCTTTTATATTTTATTAGGGTACATTAGAAACATTAGAAGTATTTTAGGAGGCAGTAGTGCCATTAGAAACAAATAGCACCGAAATTCAAACGCGGAAACTTTAGCCACCAAAAGGGGGATGAGCACCCCATCAAAAGATGTAAGCTTGCCTCTACATTTTATATTCAAATAGAATCTCACCGTCGTACTCTACCAAGCATTTTGAGGATTATTTTCAAGGAAAAGTGTGTTATTTCAACAATATAAGAAAATCGAGAAGAAAGATTTTGATGAACTGTTTATTGAACTTAATGTTAGATACTACAACTTTGGTATAAAAACATAAGATTGAGGCGTTGACAATGAACAGGTTGATCACCGTTTCAAAATGAATAAAGTTCATTTTATCCAATGATTGCACATTCAACAATCAAACATTTGTCGCTGAGAGCCCGATTGTAACAAAGATCAATATCAAAATGATTGATACAATAAATGATCTGATGAATAAAAAATCGAATATGTGAAAAAAAATGGTTTTAATGGAAAATATCGATTATATGATAACAATATATTGTACACCATGGAAAATAACTCGACTTTTCGTTCTGCGTCGGTAGTAAATTCCAGCAATGATGTCCCGATTTTTTTCTTAAGGTACACATACTATTTTTCATCATGATTATGCGGTAGAGTTGGGGTTGTATTCGTAAATGCAGGGAGAAATAACAATCGAAACCTCTGAAATGGGAAAATTAAAGGCGCTACTGTTCTCTCATCATCATAGTAAAACTATCAAAATGTCTGTAGAGATATAAAGAAGAAGCAAATTCAAATCGATGGATCACAACATGAATATTCATTAAATTTGTTAATTATACAATTTGATTTTCATCAAATGGATTCTTGAATGTGCAATAAAAAGTCGGTGTGTATATCTAATACGTAACGTACCTGTTTCGTTTTCATCTTCTGAAATATTGAATTCTTAATAAGAGAGGAGAGAAATAGAATGATAATTGTGAAATGGAGTACATAACAATACGTTGAAATTTGCAGACATCACAAAATTAAGTGGCGATATCTATTACGATTTTATTTATATTTCAATTCTTGTTTATTTCTGTTTAATATAATAGTTGTAGTATTATTGGAATTAATAATATTTATCATTAATAGGAGAGCGAATGGCTATACGTTGGGTTGCACGCTTTTTCCTTAACACCTACACGAAACACGAAAAAACTTGCTCAGCATTTTTTAAAATCACATTGATGAGAATAAAGTACTACGGAACCGAAGCTGGAGAAGGAGGAATTTCCTACTAATCTATTTGAGATCTCGTGTAGTCTATGCATTTCTATGAGGAGTATTCTAATGATCGACTACACATTGCTCAAACCGCAGGCGCCGATGTTGCATTTATAAATCGGACCGTTCGAATGCCGAATGAAATTGATATCTCATTTGCTTTTTCTCATATTGAATAAAAATTTAGTTATTATTCCTCATTCCCCTAAATTCGGGATGCAATAATTTTTGCATGAATTATCGTCTATACACTGAAAAATTGGAGATTAAATTAAACGCGACCTAAATATTTCTATTAAAAAGAGCCAGAATATGTGCCGCTGCAATTAGCAAGCATGAGACAATGATGTCCTGTCGTTTGAATAATAAACTCGATCGCAATATAGTACGTCTTCTCTTCCGTCGTGTACCTCTTCATTTCGTTCTATGTTATCTATCCTTCTATGTCCAACCATGAATAATATCAATCTAAATCGTACTCCGTTGACTTGTGTCTCTCAAAAATTAGTTACATCGCCGTCGCATTTATTCTAATCATTCATTATTTATGTATAATAATATATTTATATTTTATGTATAATTGTGGAAAGGTGTGATAAGTAGCGGATTAAATATTGTGTAGGGAGAAGCATCGCATCGATTCGGCATACAAAATGGCTTTTGATGGTTTTCCAAATTGCTGTCATTTGAATTGTCTCAGTTTTGAAAACTTATCAGATCCAACGTGTACCAAGTGTCAACGTGGCGGAAGAACGTATGTGCGAACGGACGACTATAACGACTGTTTTTTAGATAATACTATATGACATCTAGAGCCTTGAGTGATTTTAAGCATTAATTGAGGGCTATCAGCGGTTTTTTCCGTTTGTTATGATTATTAATTAAAATGTGCCTCGGCTTATCAGCACACACGCAACCCCCTAGCTTCCGAGGCTCCTTGGGGATGCACAACCTTCGTTACGAAATGTAATAAAAATTCAAATAATAAATCTGTACTAAATATCTTTTACAGTTTTGGTTTGCCTCTAAGGGAGCGGCAGTGTGGCACAACCATGGGCGTGAGAATCAACCAATTTGTATCGTTATCTCTATAGTAGGTTCGAAATTCTTTAAACCTAAAATACATATTACTCCTTTTCTCGAGCGCAATCCGTACTTAATGATGATGATTTCTCGAAATTTCATTCACTTCATCTCCCTTTATAAACAGCATACGGATAAGGAAAATTAAATTCAAGATTGCGCATACCAAGTATAAAAAAAGTATCACACGAATTACCAATATATATATAAATATACATGAATTCTTAATCAAAACCTATTTATCAAAGATGGTAAAGAGTAGATTAATTTAGATCGTTGTAAGGGAGGAATAAAAGTAGGTTCTATCATTAATGACACGTAACCTTGATGATAATTTTAACTTATAGAAATGACGACGCTATCGTCGAGAACAAGAGCTGCTCCTCTAGTTGATTTAATTTGTGTGATGTGGAGTTTTCATGACAAGCGATAATGGTTTATCACTCATTTTACAGATTACACTGCCACAGTATCGTAGGGTGTGAGGAGTCCCCCGTGACCCCCGTAGGAGGCGCCTGCTTCCCTGCCGGTGGCTTCATTTCTGCAAAAATTCATTCAACTATTATTATAATTTGCTTCCTCATGAATTGCTTCAAAGATCTATGGAAGAATACGGTAATCAGTGTCTGATTTTCCATGAGACTCAAGACTTGGGTCTTCAGAAAATCACAGCAGCACCAGCACCAGGAGCGATGATTAATGAGTATGGGCAACTTGAGTTAATTAGTTGATGATTATTTTTTAGCCAATTAATCACAGATAGACAGCCATTTTTGACTGATTCTGAAAATCCAAACATATTCATTGTTTGTGGTTCAATGGAAAATTTTAATGGGCATTTCATTATCAAAAAAGCAGGGTCAAACAGTAATAGATATGCAGCAAAATTAGTTTTAACTTCATTTAATTCAATACCTTTTCCAGACTGGTACTTGACAAATGCTACACGTCTAGAAAATCGCGTTTTCCAGGCCCTGCGCCTGGAAAATTTTTATTAAGGTACTTTCGCATTTAATTAAATGGAAGTAGAAGGAAATGTGGAAAACGTTTAAAACTTCGTTTATATGTTCACGTAATAATTATATATGTACCCGCGAAATCCCGTGAAAATAGACGGTCCAGTTTTTTTAGAAAAAAATATTGAAATAAATGATTTGTACAGCGTCAAATGGCATGCACTATTCAACTAACTTTTAAAAATCATCGACAATGTGCAAAACATATAAATGGTTGCAATACACCACCGCCTATGATCCACGAATATATCCACGTAATTTCCTCAAAAATTACAGCGTAAATCCTGAGAAATTATTAAAAATATCCGAAGAAGTCAGGAATTTTCTTCAAAATGGCGGTCTAACGCGGCAACATTGTGACAAGGTTGCGCGCAATTCAAATATCCAAAACTACTCTCCAGGAACTCTCAGCCTGGCAAAAATACGATTTCATTTTTTCAAACTGTTATTTATAGAATACGTCAAACAGTTCATCAAATATTTAAAAACAAGAAATAAACTC